GCTCAAAAGTTTCCATAACACATTTTGTTTCTTATTAAATTCATATTCAACTGTAGGTCATAACAGAATGCCACAATCATAAAACAAAACATGGCAACAAGTCAACAGATGAAAAAAGCCCTGTATAAAAGTCTGCATACCCTTAGTTCTTAATACTGTATATTGCCCCTTTAGCATCAATGACAGAGTGCAGTTTTTTGTATTAGTTGTCTATGAGGCTCCAAATTTTTGCAGGTGGTACAGCTGCCCATTTGTGTTGGCAAAATGCCTCCAGGTCATGCAAGTCTTTGGTTGTCTTGCATGAACCGCACATTTAAAATCTCTCTAGACTTGAGCGATGATATTAAGGTAAGGAGACTCTGATGGCCACTCTAGTACCTTCACCTTTTTCTGCTGTAACCATCGGAGGGTCAACTTGGCCTTGTACTTGGGTCATCGTTGTGCTTGGAAGTCAAAGAGTGTCCTATGCACAGCTTTCATGCAAATTGTCAGCCAGTATTTTCTGATAATGTTGAATTCATCTTGCCATCAATTTTCACAAGATTCGCTGTCCCTGAGCTCAAATACTCCTAAACATCAGTGAGCCACAACTATGCTTCACTGTAGAGATGGTATTCTTGTCGCTATAGACCTTGTTGACCCCTCTCCAAACATAGCGCTTAGGGCTGCGACGATAAAGCTCTATTTTGGTTTCGTCATTCTAGTTTATAGTGTGCCAGAAGCTGAGAAGTGTGTCAAGGTGTTGTTGAGCATATTGAAATCCTGGGTTTTTTTTGTGGCATTGGCTCAGTAAATGCTTCTTTCTGGCAAATCGACCATGCAGCTCATTGTTGTTCAAGTATCGTTATATATTGCTCCTTGAAACAACCACACCGTCTTTTTCCAGCACAGACTGTATTCCTCCTGGTTACCTGTGGGTTTTTCTTTGTATCCCAAACAATTCTTCTGGCAGTTAAGCTGAAATCTTTCTTGGTCTACCCCAATCTTGGCTTGGTATCAGGAGATCCTTGAATTGTTCACTTCTTAATAAGTGATTCAACTGTACTGACTGGCATATTCAAGGCTTTGGATATCTTTTTATATCCTCTTCCATCTCTAAGTTCTATTACCTTGTTATGCAGATTTTTTGACAGTTCTTTTCTATTCCACATGCTTCAGTATCTAGCCTGCTCAGTGTATCCACACGAGAGCTAACAAACTCATTGATTATTTATATACAGACACTAATTGTAATTTAAAAAGCCACAGATGTGGGAAATTAACCTTTAATTGCCATTTTAACCTGTGTGTCACCTTGTGTATTTGTACCAAGGCCAAACATTCCAGGGTATGTAAACTTTTGATCATGGCCATTTGGGTGATTTCTGTTATCATTATGATTTAAAAAGGAGCCAAATAACTATGTGATAATGACTTCATATGATCACTATCCTTAAATAAAAGGTAGTTTTTTGGAATGATCAGTCATATTTTCAATATCAATGCCAATATTTCCTGATTTCTGCCAGGGTATGCAAACCTTTGAGCACAACTGTGTGTGTGTGTATGTATATATATATATATATATATATATATATATATATATATATATATATATATATATACACACACACACTATATTGCCAACAGTATTGGGATGCCTGCCTTTACATGCACATGAACTTTAATGGCATCCCAGTCTTATTCCGTAGGGTTCAATATTGTGTTGGTCCACCCTTTTCAGCTTTAACAGCTTAAACTCTTCTGGGAAAGCTGTCCACAAGGTTTAGGAGTGTGTTTATGGGAGTGTTTGACCATTCTTCCAGAAGTGCATTTGTGAGATCAGGCACTGATATTGGACAAGAAGGCCTAGCTTGCAGTCTCCGCTCTAACTCATCTCAAAGGTGTTCTGTCGGTGTCAGAGCTCCCGGGTATGACCAGAGGTGTGTGACTGACGCAGGGAAACGCAGACTTCAGATAAGTTATAAACAATTTATTAACACTAACAATACAAACATAAATGCAGTGCAATACTAAAACATAACACAGTGCAAACGAACCAAACCAAATCACCCACAGATACCAGTACATACAGTGCAAGCGTCGTCAGGCAGGCCGGGTCAATATCAATCGGGCAGGTAGGTACAGGGGGAGAAAGCGGAGAATAGTCAGGTCACGAGCAGGGTACAGCAACTAATAGGCAGGTAGGTACAGGGGGTCAGGCAGAGAATGGTCGGGGTCACAAGCCAGGGATCAGAACAGGAGAAGTCAGCAGAGGTCAGAATCAAGCCGGGTCAGCAACAAGACAGGAACAGGAACAGGAGCAGGATGCAGGAACAAGATACAGGGCCCAGGAAAAACACAACACCAAGGCAGAGTCTGCAGGTCTGAATGTCCCTTAAATACACCAGTATAATTAGTTCCAGGTGTTTGACTGGCTGCAAGGTTGAGTCTCTGATTGCTGGGAGCACCCGCTGGCCAGCCCTGGTACTGCAGCTCATAAGGCAGATGAGTCCCACTATTGCTGGCCAGTCCATTCCTGACAGTACCCCCCCCCCAAAGGAGCGGCCTCAGGACGCTCCAAACAGTCCTAGCTGGGCAAAAAGTTCCACCGCCCGGGTCTGGTAACTGGCGGGATATCAAAGACTGGCACACCGGGCAGGACTCCGGGCAGCGGCACACACACCGGGCAGAGGGCACACCGGGCAGAGGCACATCAAGCTGGACTCCGGGCAGAGGCACATCGGGCTGGACTCCGGGCAGAGGCACATCGGGCTGGACTCCGGGCAGAGGCACATCGGGCTGGACTCTGGGCAGAGGCACATCGGGCTGGACTCCGGGCAGAGGCACATCGGGCAGCGGCACACCGGGCAGCGGCACATCGGGCTAGACTCCGGGCAGGGGCACATCGGGCTGGGACTCCGGGAAGGGGCACATCGGGCTGGACTCCGGGCAGGGCACATCGGGCTGGACTCCGGGCAGGGGCACATCGGGCTGGACTCCGGGCAGAGGCACATCGGGCTGGACTCCGGGCAGAGGCACATCGGGCTGGACTCCGGGCAGAGGCACATCGGGCTGGACTCCGGGCAGAGGCACATCGGGCTGGACTCCGGGCAGAGGCACATCGGGCTGGACTCCGGGCAGAGGCACATCGGGCTGGACTCCGGGCAGAGGCACATCGGGAGATTACCAGGTGAAGCAGCAGGCACCGGGCCCCCAGGCGGGGCGACAGGCATCAGGCCCCCCAAGCAGAGCGGCGGGCGCGCCGGGCCCCCAGGAGGGGCGACAGGCATCGGGCCCCCCGGCGCGGAGACAGGCATCGGGCCCCCCGGCGGGGGCGACAGGCATCAGGCCCCCAAGCGGAGCGGCGGGTGCCGGGCCCCCAGGAGGGGCGGCAGGCATCGGGCCCCCAGGCGGGGCGACAGGCATCGGGCCCCCAGGAGGGGCGACAGGCATCGGGCCCCCAGGCGGGGCGACAGGCATCGGGCCCCCAGGCGGGGCGGCGGGCGCCGGGCCCCCAGGCGGAGCGGCGGGGGCACCGGACCCCCAGGCGGAGCGACAGGTCTCGGGCCCCCAGGCGGAGCAGCGGGCACCGGACCCCCAGGCGGAGCGACAGGTCTCGGGCCCCCAGGCGGAGCGGCGGGCGGGACCCCCAGGCGGAGCGACAGGTCTCAGGCTCCCAGGCGGAGCGACAGGTCTCAGGCCCCCAGGCGGAGCGGCAGGCGCCGGACCCCCCCCAGGCGGAGCGGCGGGCGCCGGACCCCCAGGCGGAGCGGCGGGTCTCGGGCCCCCAGGCGGAGCGGCGGGGTCACCGAGTCACCAGGCACGACAGTGGGCACCGAGTCGTCTGGCAAGACAGCGGGGGCACCGAGTCGTCTGGCAAGACTGCGGGCACCGAGTCGTCTGGCAAGACTGCGGGCACCGAGTCAACTGGCGGAACTGCGGGCACGAGTCAACTGGCGGAACTGCGGGCACCGAGTCAACTGGCGGAACTGCGGGCACCGAGTCGTCTGGCAAGACTGCGGGCACCGAGTCGGCAAGACTGGGGCACCGAGTCGTCTGGCAAGACTGCGGGGCACCGAGTCGTCTGGCAAGACTGCGGGCATCGAGTCAACTGGCGGAACAGCGGGCATCGAGTCAACTGGCGGAACTGCGGGCACCGAGTCGTCTGGCAAGACTGCGGGCACCGAGTCGTCTGGCAAGACTGCGGGCACCGAGTCGTCTGGCGGAACAGCGGGCACCGAGTCAACTGGCGGAACAGCGGGCACCGAGTCGTCTGGCAAGACTGCGGGCACCGAGTCGTCTGGCAAGACTGTGGGCACCGAGTCGTCTGGCAAGACTGCGGGCACCGAGTCAACTGGCGGAACAGCGGGCATCGAGTCAACTGGCGGAACTGCGGGCACCGAGTCGTCTGGCAAGACTGCGGGCACCGAGTCGTCTGGCAAGACTGCGGGCACCGAGTCAACTGGCAAGACTGCGGGCACCGAGTCAACTGGCGGAACAGCGGGCACCGAGTCGTCTGGCAAACTGCGGGCACCGAGTCGTCTGGCAAGACTGCGGGCACCGAGTCGTCTGGCAAGACTGCGGGCACCGAGTCTGGCAAGTCTGGCAAGACTGCGGGCACCGAGTCGTCTGGAGGAACAGCGGGCACCGAGTCAACTGGCGGAACAGCGGGCACGAGTCGTCTGGCAAGACTGCGGGCACCGAGTCGTCTGGCAAGACTGCGGGCACCGAGTCATCTGGCAAGACTGCGGACACCGAGTCGTCTGGCGGAACAGCGGGCATCGAGTCAACTGGCGGAACAGCGGGCACCGAGTCGTCTGGCAAGACTGCGGGCACCGAGTCGTCTGGCAAGACTGCGGGCACCGAGTCGTCTGGCAAGACTGCGGGCACCGAGTCAACTGGCGGAACAGCGGGCATCGAGTCAACTGGCGGAACTGAACTGCGGGCACCGAGTCGTCTGGCAAGACTGCGGGCACCGAGTCGCCTGGCAAGACTGCGGGCACCGAGTCGTCTGGCAAGACTGCGGGCACCGAGTCGTCTGGCAAGACTGCGGGCACCGAGTCGTCTGGCAAGACTGCGGGCACCGAGTCAACTGGGAAGACTGCGGGCACCGAGTCAGCTGGCAACAGCGGGCATCGAGTCAACTGGCGGAACTGCGGGCACCGAGTCGTCTGGCAAGACTGCGGGCACCGAGTCGTCTGGCAAGACTGCGGGCACCAAGTCGTCTGGCATTGGATCGTCTGGCTCGACAGCAGGCATCGGGTCACCAGGTATGACAGCGGGCACTGGGTCACCAGGCATCAGGTCATTTGGCTCGCCAGCGGGCACCGCGTCATCTGGCAAGGCAGTGGGCACCGAGTCACCAGGTACGACAGCGGGCTCTGAGTCAATTGGCACGACAGCGGGCACCGGATCAGGTACCGGATCATCTGGATCAACAGCAGGCATCGAGTCAACTGGCCTAATAGGATCATCAGGCTGGATCAGTTCATTATGCTGGGTAGAAGCATCCGGCTGAGTAGAGGCTTCAGGCTGAGTAGAGGCATCAGGCTGAGTGAGGCATCAGGCTGAGAGAGGCATCAGGCTGAAGAGAGGCATCAGGCTGAGTAGAGGCATCAGAGGCTTCAGGCTGAGTGAGTAGAGGCTTCAGGCTGAGTAGAGGCTTCAGGCTGAGTAGAGGCTTCAGGCTGAGTAGAGGCTTCAGGCTGAGTACAGGCATCAGGCTGAGTAGAGGCATCAGGCTGAAGAGAGGCATCAGGCTGAACCACGGAAGGCAGGTTCTCAGACGGTAGGCTCACCGGTTTGGATACTGGCAGGATGGTACTGGTTGGAAAGAATTTTCGCTTTTTTCTGGTTTTAACTACTGGGGCACTGCAAGTAAACGCAGGTCTGCAAATGAATGGAGCAGATGGAGACAGAGAAGAGCTGGAGGATGGAACAGGGGAAGGAACAGTCGCTACAGAGGGCTTCTTTACAGGGTTAAAGGCAGGATAGGTGCAGCGAGTGGGAACAGGGTACTGACATGCGGTAGATAGCCAAGTATACTGGGCTGTAACTGGAGGAGCTGTTGGGAATACAGGAGTAGAGCTTTGAGGAGATAGATTAGAAGCAGGACTGGGTCTTTGTAAGCTGACTGAGGCTGGGTGTAACAAATCTGTCCATGTCTGCAGTATGGGTTGAACAAAGCTGAGCTTACACAAAGCCTGTCTGACCAAAGACTGCACTGCGTTTATACAATCTCTTAGTACCTGTGGTGAACATGTGGAATAACGCTCCAGAAAGTAACCCACATCATCCTCTAATAACCATACCAGGGACTCTACCTGGTCTGCACTAAATGGTGGCAAAAATTCATCCCTGCATTCGGGGGTACCAGATGAAACCAACTCAGCACAAACCTCAATCAATGGCTGCACCTCAGAGAACTCTGTGCCCTGATCTACTAGAACATGAGCGAGCCGTATACATTCTAGCAGTTCATCCCGGGTATACTCCTTCAGAGTTTGATAAGCATACTCCCTGTCATCAAACACTAGCAGATATAAATACGCAACCTCATCCAGATCCATCCTTCCCATCAACAAACCAAGATGGCTTCCCTGTGCAGCCACTTCTGGTCAGGATTGGCCTTGGTGTAATGTCAGAGCTCCCGGGTATGACCAGAAGTGTGTGACTGACGCAGGGAAACGCAGACTTCAGATAAGTTATAAACAATTTATTAACACTAACAATACAAACATAAACGCAGTGCAATACTAAAACATAACACAGTGCAAACGAACCAAACCAAATCACCCACAGATAACAGTACATACAGTGCAAGCGTCGTCAGGCAGGCCGGGTCAATATCAATCGGGCAGGTAGGTACAGGGGGAAAAAGCGGAGAATAGTCAGGTCACGAGCAGGGTACAGCAACTAACAGGCAGGTAGGTACAGGGGGTCAGGCAGAGAATGGTCGGGGTCACAAGCCAGGGATCAGAACAGGAGAAGTCAGCAGAGGTCAGAATCAAGCCGGGTCAGCAACAAGACAGGAACAGGAACAGGAGCAGGATGCAGGAACAAGATACAGGGCCCAGGAAAAACACAACACCAAGGCAGAGTCTGCAGGTCTGAATGTCCCTTAAATACACCAGTATAATTAGTTCCAGGTGTTTGACTGGCTGCAAGGTTGAGTCTCTGATTGCTGGGAGCACCCGCTGGCCAGCCCTGGTACTGCAGCTCATAAGGCAGATGAGTCCCACTATTGCTGGCCAGTCCATTCCTGACAGTCGGGTTGAGGTCAGGACTCTGTGCAGGCCAGTCAAGTTCCTCCACCCCAAACTGTCTCATCCATGTCTTTTTGGACCTTGCTTTGTGCACTGGTGCACAGTCATGTTGGAACAGGATGGGGCCATCCCCAAACTGTTCCCACAAACATGGGAGCATGAAATTGTCCAAAATGTCTTGGTATGCTGATGCCTTAAGAGTTCCCTTCACTGGAACTAAGGAGTCAAGCCCAACCCCTTGAAAACAACCCCACACCATAATCCTCCCTCTACCACACTTTTACACTTGACACAATGCAGTCAGGCAAGTACTGTTCTCCTGGCAACCACTAAACCCAGACACATGCATTGGATTGCCAGACAGAGAAGCATGATTTGTTACTCCAGAGAACATGTCTCCACTACTCTAGAGTCCAGTGGCAGCGTGCTTTACACCACTGCATCCTACGCTTTGCATTGCACTTGGTGATGTAAGGCTTGGATACAGCTGCTCAGCCATGGAAACCCATGAAGCTCTCTATGCATTGTTGTTGTGCTAATCTGAAGGCCACATGAAGTTTGAAGGTCTTTAGCTATTGACTCTGCAGACAGTTGGCGACTTCTGCACACTGTGAGCTTCAGCATGCTACCACTTCATGGCTGAGTTTCTGATATTCCCAGTTGTTTCCACTTTGTTATAATATCACTAACAGTTGACTGTGGAATATTTAGAAGCAAGGAAATTTCACGGATGGACTTATTGCACAGGTGCCATCATATCATGGTACCACGCTTAAATTCACTGAGCACAGAAAAAAAAGGAATGATCTTCTGTATATATACACCAGTTTTGTCTTGTAGAGGAAAATGGGAATGAGATTTGGAAGATATTGATGGAGCACTAAAAAAACACTGGCTTTCATACTTCTCTCTGTCCTCGTCTTATAAGTTAACTCAGGTTTTTTATTTTACATCAAGTGTATAAGACCCCCTTACAATTATACCACTGGGGTAGGAGAGACTCCCCCATCTGTCCCAGATGCATCAGAGATCAAAGGGACTTAATACACATGATTAAATACAGTAACTAGATACTGGACAGAGATAATTAACACCAAGGTTATTAAAGGATAATTTCACCTTTGGGAACATGTTACATGTTCCACCACATATTCCCACTCCTGCAGCCACTCCCTGACCCCCCTCCCTGTGACAGCAGGTTGGGGATCTTCTCCCCGTACCTGCTGTCACTATTTGAAAAGGAGGCAGCCACGTGGGGCCCAGCCCACACAGCTGGGTCATTCATTCACAGTTCTGTGAATCAATAAACTATAAGTACCAACATCCTTTGTGGCTGTCAGCTTGTTTTTCTCAATAAACTATCAGGGATCTGTCGAACGCTCTAGGTAGCTCATTGATTCTTCCTGCCAGTGTGTAACTGCCTGCTTGTATGAGGAGCCTGAGGGTGCAATGCTTTGCAGGCTCTTAAAAAAACCTATAAATGCACAATTTTTTACCTGCAAAAAAAAAATGTGCATATATTATTTTTTAAAAGGTGAACTTATCCTTTAATCGCCAGTATTTTATATCACTATGTCTTGGAACTCTACATCGTGTCTACTTGGAGACCTAGATACAGAAGCTTACCAGCCAGCTGTACTCATTGCACTACTGAGACTACTATATATAGCATGTAAATTAATCACGTGACATTGGATGTCCCCCTATCCACCTACAAGGAAAGTGTGGATAAAACAGATGAACTCTACTGTTATATGCGAAAAACTGATGTATCAACGCCAAAATCACCTGAAAAATTTGTGACTATATGGCAAAATTGGTTACACACCCTGGGGCTCCCCCACAGTTGGTACTTGATAGAATACTTCAAATGTAATTCATTTTTGTTTCATTGGCAACAATCTCGGCTGTATAGAAGAGTAAGAGACCTGAAAGGGAGACGAGGGGCCTCATCATAAGGGCCAGTGTTGGGGGAATCTGCTGTACTAACAAAATTAGACAATGTCTAAGGAATTTGAAGTGACCTTCTGTACTGTTTGGTTGGAAGAAAAAAATGTAAAACTTGTTTTACTAACACAGTTTGATGTGTCACACAAACTGAATGTACATGTGTTGTGTGTACCACTCTTTATTTCTCAATAAAGTGTTTGAATAAAATAAAATTTGTAGTGACTTTGTTACATAAGACAGGGTCTCAGAACTACAGTATTCCTGTGAAACCAGGAGAAATATTTGAGATGCCATTTCTGTAAGTTGTGTGAGCTTTCTTTGAGAAAGGAATGGAAGGTGGCCTGAAGATCATGTTTACAGAATACCCAGGTACTTAATGTTTGGAGTCCATTTAAAGGAAAATTGGATTTAAGAGTGAGCAGTTTTTGAGTGGAGACAGTTAGATTCAGCAATTTTGACATTTGTATCTTTATCTTGAAGTTGGTTATGGAACTATATAATATTTAAATTTTGCCAGTAGGTTGGGTAAGGATGTTTCTATGTGGGTGATGATGACGATTATCTGTATATCTGGCTACTTTGTGTTCTGCCTTACTTGTGGGAAGACCTAAATTATTTAGATTATATCCAATGTGGCCTAAAACTGTTTCTACAGTCAGAACAAATATCACTGGTACAAAGGGAAACCCTGTTATTTTATTCTGTAGGTAGAATAAGGTGGAGGTCCAATGTCTCATTTGGGCTCCAAGGTCAAGTCATAGGGGAGAAGTTTAAATAAATATCCAGTTGGCTCAATCAACAACCTTTGTAGCATTGGTAGAAAGGAGGATGGTGGAGATTTTCTTTGTCTGTGCTAGGTATATCATGTTTAGAGCTCTGATTATGTTATCTTTAACTTCTCTACATGGTATAAAACCCACCTGGTCTGGATACATTAGAGGTTGCATCAAGGGTATAAATCTACAGTATTAGCTAAAATTTTTGTCAATAATTTAAAGTCTATGTTTAGTAGAGATATAGAGCGGTGACTAGTGCATAGAGATTATGCTAATGTTAATTCTTAGGCAGTCAGTGGAGAACTGTGTCTTGTTAATTGTTGGAAATTCCCGCATTAACTATAGGCAACATATTTTTTTCTCCACCTCACAATCAATACTCCAAAATAGTTTATCTGTTCATATCCCAAAAATACATGAGTTTCACTCACAGAAACAGAGATTCAGATAATGGAACTGGTGTCTCAA